CCCAGCCCGTGCTGTGCCTCTCTTGGCCCTCCGATGTCACCTTTGCTCGCTCTGCATCTTCCCGTCCTTCTGTGCATGGTGGGAGGGGGCCTCTGCCCCCGTGAGCTCTGTTCTGCTCTGCTCTGCATCAGCCTCGCTGTGAGCTCCTGGCATCGCTTCTAGCTCCTCAGTTTCCCTGCAGCACCTGGGAGGGGGCCCGGAGCACAGAGGGGCCCAGTACGGGCGAGGGGCTGGGACTCAGGTGGGGGACAGGAGGGCAGGTTCTCTGAGGCCTCTGCCTTTGTCGAGGGGTTTGGGCTCTGGTGAGGATCAGTAAACTTATAAATCATGTCCTTCTTAAAAAAGTTAAACTATGTGAGGAATGGCATTCTTGCAGCTTACTGGGGTCGTGTTTAATCCCCACAAAAACTCTCAGGATCGGGGGTGTCCGGGGCTCCCACTCAGAAGCACAGTTGTGTTTTTCCCTAATGCTTCCTGTTCTTCAAGCAGCTTCAGGTGTCTTTCCAGTTCAGCCTGGAACAGTGTGGCTGTCACATGGTGTCCTTTCGGACATGTACTTATAGTGGAGAAAATGCTTCCATACTTCGTTACTTATGACGATATCGGAGAAAGCTAATTCTATATTTTCCCTTTAAAATCGTTCTTACTCTCAGCGCCAATAAAATCAGAGCTGAAGAACCTGTGCCAGTGTTTATTCTTGGCAGAAGAAGATAATTGGCATTGCTCTTTTTCTTAGACCTGTTCAAAATTAGAATCGTAAAATCCTTTTTACACTTTCCTGCTGAGCTATAAAACGCAGAAGCGTGTGCACGGTGCCCAGGCCTCCGTGGGGTGTTTCACCCGTGCCCGGCCTGTGAACCCTTCCGCCGCCCCTGCCTGGAGGTGGGGGCTTCTCCCCCACAGACCGGCGTCGTGTGGCACTGTAGCACCTGGCAGACCGTCCCCGTCCCCAGAGGTGGCTGCTGCGGCTACGTGGACTGTCCTGACGTCTCTGCCCAACAGGCCTGTGCTCTGACGCCCCTGAGGTAGCCCTGGCCTGACAGTCTGCTCCTGAGCAGCTCCCCTGAGCCCTGGGCCCCTGCACCCTGGAAGCATACAGTGCTGGGTGGGCCTCCCCGTTACCTGCTGCTAAGTGTCCAAGTCCTGTGCCCCACAACGTGTGGATGTTTTTGGAGCTACCCTCTGGGTGTGACTTTCCGAGGCTGGGCTCAGGGTCAGCTGCCCATC